TGTTAAACTCTTTGAGTTGCTCAACTGAAATGCATTATCTAAGTGCACAATACATCATCATGGCCCTGTTTCAGAAAACACTTAAGTGCAGCACATGCTTAATTTTAAGCATGTGAACATCCCCATCTCTGGTCAGCAAAGCACTTGAGCAGGTGCTTAACTCCCACTGGCTTCAATGCTACTTAAACACATGGTAGAGTGCTTTCACTCCCAGTTCAGGAAATGACTTTACAATACTAAGAAAAGCACTTGAGCATGTGGATATGGCGCTTTCCTGAATAGGGCTGCTTTCTTTGATCAGGGCTCTGTTGAATAAGGATGGGATTACTTATGTGCTTAAAGTTATGCATGTGTTTAAATGATTTGCTGAACTGGGATCTACTTGTGTGTGTACAAACACACATGGACAACACAAACACACATGGACAACACAAACACACACGCATGTGCACACCCTGCCTAGAGTTTAGGCAGGCGCAACTGGAATTATATTTAAATAAATGAAATTAATAAACTAAAAAAACAATGGTTTGGGGACATTTTTGTCACCCATTGTAATGTTACTCCTGGTCAGCTAATCTTGTGCCATTCACTGTCACACTGGCAAGGAAAGGTAAATGCTGATGGCTTGTAGTACTGTAACAGAATTTCATCTAATTTAGCATCAGATCCTCCCAATACCTCAGTTTTCTGAAGAAATGTCCCAGACTCCTGGTTATATCAGATACTCCAGAATCTAGTTTACTAAAACAACACAAAAAGAAGAACAGGAGTACTTGTGGCACCTTAGAGACTAACAAATTTATTAGAGCATAAGCTTTCGTGGACTACTCCTGTTCTTCTTTTTGCAGATACAGACTAACACGGCTGCTACTCTAAAACAACACAGATCAAGAAAACAAAAGCAGACATTTGGCAGCCTCAAGCTAGGTCTTCCCCTGCTCAATCAGGGCACCTCACAGTGCTTAGCAGTCCACTACACTATGACTCTCCTAAGGGTTTTTGTTCCTGCCTGTCACTGCACACAGCTCCAGCCAGGCTTTTGCCTCTGGCTGGTAGGGAAAAACTTCTGCTCCAGTCTTCTCTCTAACTCTATATCCCAGTAAGACTTTCCCTACAGGTGTCTCTCTCTCAACTGAGCAGGCTCCCTTTTATAAGAAGCACCAACCCCTGGCTACCATTGGGTGATGCATGGACACCTGACCCAACCACTGGCAACGGATAATTAGGCACAGGTGGGGCTGAGCCCAACTCTCCTTATGGGGCCAGCCCACTCTGACAGGCACCAATAATTAACTTAAGCCAATATTTCTACAGTATTACATAGGCAGGCCTGTATTCAGTCATAGCCATTTTCCATCTATAACAAGATGGACCATATTGTTCTTGATTAATACATTCCAGTTTGTGACAAGAATCCAGTTTTTAACATCTAATTTAATAAAACACAACTAGCAATGATGCAGTTACTGCTGTGAACATTGTGAGCTTAGAACAGCTGCATGGTGATTGAGTCTAGCAAATTACATAACAATTATGTATGCTTACATTAAAATTACCTTGCAATCTTTGGATTGCCTGGCAACACTTTCCCTCAGTATGCACAAATGGTGCACTTTTCTCTGTAATTACATAGTAATTGCTATGCATTTACACAGCAGTTGCAATAGAGCATATTTCTTAACTTTTAGCAGCTAATAAAACAAATGGTTACCCAAAAGCCTAAAACAAAACATCCTATTGTTTTTGCTATTATCACTAATAAAACATCTTATTTGTTTGTGTTACCCAGTCTCATCCCACCTCCACATTTTTTGGATTATCTTTTAGACTGTAAATATTTTGGGGGCAGGGGCTGTCATTTACTACGTGCACACCCAGTGCCAAGCAAAACAGGCCCCTGATCTCTGTGCGGGCATCTAGGCACTATCAGAATATAGGTTTCAGGTTTCATATGCATCCGAAGAAGTGGGCTGTAGTCCACGAAAGCTTATGCTCTAATAAATTTGTTAGTCTCTAAGGTGCCACAAGTACTCCTGTTCTTCTTTTATCAGAATATAAACATTAATAACAAAAACTACAATTTTTCTAATCTATAAACTCTACTGGCAAAATGGTCTTGGACCCTGCAGCCTTAACTCATAGTACAATCCCATTGACTGTAAGTATTTATTTCATTTCCATTTAGTGGCTGGTATTGTCCACCTTTAGTTTCAGGTGGAAGACAGAGCTAATGTATTGCAGCGTGTGATATGAATATGGCCTTGTGAATGATCTTCCTTCATCTCAGCAAAGCCTGCTGTGCTCGTTAGGGACATTCACATTCCAGTTACCCTTTCAGAGCCGGCTCTTCTGTAAAAGAGCCAAGCAATACCTAAAGCTTTGTTTAGCCTATGGGGAGAGCAGTAGAGCTCCCTGTGTCTTTCTGAGATCCAATTAACTGAAGGCAGACAAGGCTCTAAGTACATATTACAGGATAATACATTTCTTTTAGACTGACAAGGCTATGTCTTTGCTTTTTAAAAACATGGTCAGTGGAAGTGATTTAGAAATTATTCCCTCTGGTTCAGTAAGACAAACAGATTTTTCCTAAGGGTTGAAACAGTGGAAACCGTTGCATTTCAGACTATGGAAGCAAAACAGGTTAGATTAGGTTACATATCTAGAAGTCTCCCTACGGTCTGATCCTTCAACTCTGACTTACTACTCACAGCTTGTGTTGGAAGGTGTGATTCAATATGCGTGAGGGTAACACAAACTAGCCCATAGACAGCTTTACTAAAGTTGTCAATGAAACTACTGTCCTGAATAAAGGCTGTATGATGAGACCTCTAGAGTGAAATCCTGGATAATCAGGATAATACCTGTAAAATCAGGATAATACCTACCCCAATGTGAAACATTGACAACTATGGATGAAAAGTGTTATAAAAAGTAGCAAAACTGTATTATTATTATATCACTTATTAAAGCAGCATGTCACAGCCATTACTATCAGTCTCAAGGAAAGAAACTGCTGTTGGTATATTGCCTTATGGCCTTTGCACTGAAGTTAACAAGAGTTTTCATAGAATCATAGAATATCAGCGTTGGAAGGGACCTCAGGAGGTCATCTAGTCCAACCCCCTGCTCAAAGCAGGACCAATCCCCATCTAAATCAAATTTTGCCTTTGACGTCAATGGAGCCAGGATTTCATTCCTAGTCTCTGAGGCCCAGATTCTCCAAGGTATTTAGGTGCCTAACTCCCACTGAAGTCAATTTGAGTTAGGTACCTAAATATCTTGGAGGACCTGGGCCTAAAACTCTTTGGTACAGCAGTGGCCAGAGAGACTGTTCAATCATATTAATTCCAGCCATGAAATACTGCAAAGGGACATCTAAGAGAGCCATTTCTATGTACAGTCCTAGCCCTTAAGAAAACTAAACTGCAGCTCAGTAACCTCAGGATCTGCAGTTTCCAGGTATTCCTCTAGTAAATATAGGAAAATACAAGGGAATAGAAAGATACCAATGTAACTGTCCCTATCTGATGTAAATCTGGCATATTTTGAAGGGCCACCATTCCCCGTGACAGCACACATACAGCAAACTTCAGCAATATTTAAATAATATTAGGAAGTCTGGCTCTGTCAATGCTAAGAAAGGGAAGCCTTAAATGGAGAACCCCAGCCAGGAAGGAAGGAAGGAAGGAAGGAATTTCCTCCCGCACCTAGATAATGAACTCCAGGTTGCAGATCACAAGGAAGGATCATATGCATCCGAAGAAGTGGGGTGTAGTCCACGAAAGCTTATGCTCTAATAAATTTGTTAGTCTCTAAGGTGCCACAAGTACTCCTGTTCTTTTTGCGGATACAGACTAACACGGCTGCTACTCTGAAACAAGGAATTAAGGAGACCATCTAGTAGAGACTCAGATACCATGGTGATGAGTGTGGTGTAAAAACCCAACTGATAGCTTAGATACAGCAAGTGAACTCTGGAATGCTAGATCTCTGCTCAGTGCAGAAAAGGAAGGCACATCAAGGAGTCCATAAATGAATCTTTGATCCTGATTCCTGAGGGCCAGTGTGCATTGGTCCCAGTAAGAGCTAGTCAGTCAAAGGTTGCTCTTATCCCACTAGCATAGGGTCCACCACACAACCACTCCCTTCCTCCCCCAACATTTCCCTACACGCGGGGTGAGGCAGCTGACACAGGGGCTGTCTTCATTATCTTTATGTCAGCAGCGATATGCCAGTTCCCTTATGCCAGGGAAATTCCCTGATGACCATTTAAAGATAAAATCTGGCCCTTTTGTAGTGCTCAAGCCTGGATCTTAGATGAGAATCTGGCCCAAAATACTTGGGAACTCATCTGCCAGGTTAGAGGGTGAAACACAATATTTGATTTATTAAAATAAATTGTGCAATAGCCCATTAAAAATATATAGATGCTGAATACTGAATGAGGATTCTGTGAAATCCACAAGCCACCAGCTGTGATGGCAGGTGATGAGGTGGCATGTTCTCCCCATGTCACAGCCCTGAGTAATGATGAGTCACTGAGATGCATTCCAAAGGGAGCAGACAAGGACAGATGCCCTCCAGCTGCAAGCTCTTCCCCCACAGCTCAGCTGGAAGCAGCGCAAATTCACTTCAACTGAAGCTAATTGACTTTCTTAGCCTGTGTCTTTGCAAATGCTGTTTCCTGGCTTCAGCCAAGCTTGGCACAGCTGTAAGGATTAAAGTCTACAATTTCTATCCAAGAGAGTTAACAAAAAAAAATTACTAATCGTTTTCATAGTGCCAATTTAAAGAACGGCTGCCACTGAATAACTGTGATACGGCCCATACAAAACCAGGCTGAGACGGGTCATTGCCAATCTTGCAAACCCCTCCATATATGATTAGAGAGTATCCTTTTACTCCTGACAGTTCACCAGTGACGAAAAGATTGGCTTCAAACAAGAATGTAGGTCAATGCAATGCTTTGTAAAGGTGCAACTGATCTTGGTACTCACAGTACTCTATGCCCAAGACAATGTCCTTAAAGTAGAGCCGAGCCTGCTCTTCAGTGAATGGCTGGTCAGTTGGCACCTCCATGACAGGACTGAAAGGAAAAAGGCAGTCAGCTAGTAAACAGAGCTCTTGGGTTCTATTTCTGTCTGTGACTTTGCATGATCTTGGGCAAGTCATTTCAGACCAGATTTACAAAAGTGCTCAGCAAGCACAATGGGGACCAGATTTTCAAAAGAGCTCAGCTCCCATTCAGGGACCTACATAAGTGCTCATCATCTGGCATCTCCCATTCTGACACTTAGGGATAGATTTTCAAAAGACCCAGCCTGCTGAGCTCATTGGAAAATCTGGCCATTTACTTTGGTGCCTAAATGGGAGCTGAGCTCTTTTGAAAATCTGACCCCTAGGACTTGATTTCAGAGGACTGAGCACCCATAACTCCAGCTGAAGGCAATGGGAGCTGGGCATACTCTCAGCACTTCTAAAAATCAGGCCCTAATTGTCTGTTTCCCCTTCTGTAAAATCAGGATAATACCTGCCCCAATGTGAAACATTGACAACCATGGAGGAAAAGTGTTATAAAAAGTGCAAAACTGTATTATTTATTATTATATCATTTATTAAAGAAGCATGTCACAGCCATTACCATCAGTCTCACAGAAAGAAACTGCTGTTGGTATATTGCCTTATGGCCTTTACAAGCACCATACAGTTGGCACATAACTTGCATATCAAAAGTAGTCTTCCAAAGGCCTGATTCTGATTTGACATTATGCTAGTTAGGATTTGCTCCTGAAGAAAAGGGCAATAAAACCAGTGTCGTCCAGGTTTCAATGAGACCAGGCTAAGGGCTAAATATTCCCTTGTAGGGTTTGACATTAACATGAAAATATTTCTGATTTATCATTTTAGCAGCTCTTAAAACCCTGTTTTCCTGTTCAAGGTTCAGTACAGCTGCGAAAAAGTCTCAGGAGTCAGATTGAAAACTTCCTTTTCCCCACCCTGGTGGCCCCCTTTATGTCTTCATTGTTAAAGGACGTGCAGAATCTCTTAAGTGACCCTCCTCTCCCCTGCCCACAGGTGAGAGCCAAGCGTAAACGGCAATAGAGGGCCAAGACCATACAAGCACTTTCTGAGAGGTAAGGAGCACATTCAACTCTCAATGATGACAATGGGAAGTGTGGGTGCTTAACATCTTGCAGGATTCTGCCTGATTCTGCAATGTATTTGGCACTAATGCAGCAAAGCACTCTCTAACTTTAAGCACATGAGTATTCCCACTGACTTCAAGAGACTTAAGGGTGTGCTTAAATGCTGTGCTGGATCCGAGCCAGAGCTCTCAGTATCTTGCAGGATTGAGCCCTTGTTGAGAATCAATGCACAAGAGGTCTCCAGCGACTTAGCAGCAGCTACCCTCTCTTTTAACCACCCTGTCCACCCCCCATCCCATAGAGCTCAAGGAAGCTGGCAGCTCCGCATCTCTCCTGTCAGAAAACTACTCTCTGTGCTTTTTAGCCCCGCCCCCCATTCTTTCACTAGATGAGCTTAATGGTCTGTTTCCATTTTTGTCACCGATTTCCAGCTTCCTCCCCCATCACATGGCAACATTTTCATGTCGCTGAATCCTGGGAGAAGCAATGGGAGCGACAGGACTGCTAATGAAGTATAATTGCCATCTGCTAGAGGTAGAAGGGTTGCTTCAAAAGAGTGGCACAGCCCCCCTTCGTGGCTGCAGCTGATTACAATGGCTTTTTCTGAGCTGTGCAGAGACTCAAAAGAGAGTTTTCTCCCTTCCCCAAAGGGACAACTGTTGTCCTGATCACCAGTAAGACCTTCCTTGCCTCTCATCCTGTCACCATTAACCTGCAAGAGATGGCAGCCCAGAAAAAAGTGGTAAAGGGAAATAAAATGTATGGAATCTCCCTGCAGATTTAGCTCTCCTAATCCCTCTTCCTTCTTTTCTGCATTACAGGCCCATTCCAAGTGCAATTAAAGTCAATGGAAAGGCTCCCAGTGACTTCCTTGGGAGTTGAACCTGGCCCTAAATAAAGTATGGGAGGGGAGTTTGGAAAGAGGAGCTTCTGGATTTGTCTACACTGCAAAATGAAGATCTGATTGTAGCATGGCTAAGCGTATCTGCGTTAGCATTAATCTGGCACGGGCTAGCAACCAGAGTACAAGCCCGCCAAGGATCCTGGGTATATGCTCTGGTTGCTGGCCCATGCTGCCACTACTGTTACCCGGGCTAGCTAGATTAAAGCTAACATGGCTATGCCTACCTATGCTACAATCAGACCTTCACTTTGCAGTGTGCACATAGCCTCAATGGTTAAACCTTCCTTTCATGTCTTGTACCATTTCTTCGGTTTAGCTCCAAAGCAGAAGTAACAGGTACTGGAGAGACTTAGGGCTCAATTCTGCCTTGAAATAAATGGTAACTGAGGGTGCTCAGTACCTTGTAATATTACACCCTTAGGACCCAATCCGATGCCTACTGAAATCAATGAGGGTGTTTCTACTGACCCCTAATTAAGGGCCTGATCCAAAGCCAAATGAAGCCAATGGAAAGACTATTATTGTCTTCAGTGGTTGCTAAGAATGGGATTTTCAAAAGTGCTCACCACTGTCTCAACTCTCATGCCACTGAAGTCAGTGGGAGTTTTAACAGTGGCTTCAATCGGAGTAGAGTGAGACCACTGCCAAACGCCCTAAACTACCACAACATGCTACACAACACAATAGACTCTGTTCAGGAAAAGGCTACCCTTCAATTGGCTTAGACAGAGAAAAGCTTTTCATCCTCTACTAGATGAGGCCTAAAACCATCACCCCACCATTATAATGACGTTAATAGCAACAACCCTGCCACACGGCGCAGTGACACATGAATATGCTATGACATTTTAAAACCGTATCGCGACCCTGTATTGTTGGGTTTTTTTGGTTGAGCCAGGATTCCAGCCGTGTTTCTACCTGGCAGTGGTACTCTGGAAAGCATTATCAGCTATTACCTCTACTCATTTGGAGCAGAAAATTTTAATGATGATCTCATTTTACTCTGTGATGGTCATCAATTGTTTGCTGCAATAACAACTATCGTGTCACACTGAAAATTGTGCATCAGACTGCATCTGTGCTACAGCATGCAGAGGTTCTCACTTGCATTGGCTACTGTCAGAAGACAGGATACTGGGCTAGATGGACCACTGGTCTGACCCAGTATGGACGTTCTTATGTTGGAGGACCCAGCAAAAAGAAAAGCAGAGCCCACATCAGAATCTAAAGAACTGAAAGTGAGTGTTGGGACCCAAGAGAAACAAAAGCAAAGCAGCAAGTAAGGAAGGATGGTCTTGTGGCAAAGGCTATGATACAGATTTGTGTGGCTCTCTGTCTGACCTTGACCGCTTCATCTCTCTCTGACACAGGGGCATTCAAAAACGTGGTCAGTAATACTTCCCTTCTCCCTTCCTGGACCTGGGTTGCATATTAAGATTGTAAGCTCTTCAGGATCTGCTGTAAACTGTATCTATCCCGAAGATCTGGATAACGTAATGTGTGGAGGTGGAAAAGCTCCTGCATTTACAAAATGTTGTCTCTCAAATAATTCGGGCGAGGGAGAATTCAATAGTGATTGGCATAAGGTTAGACACTGGTGAGTAAACGAGTGCAAGGAACTCTAAGGAAACATACCCTATACATAGACATGACAGAAGAGGGTATAAGAGGGAAGTTACTTTAACTTACATTATTTAAAAACTTCTTCTGGTCACTTGACATGTAAGTTAATCAAGTCAGACTCCCTTCACCAGATTCTGAAAACAGTTATGCCAGTGTAAATCTCAGTGACTACAAAATCTAGAGAGTATCTGATTTACAGTGGTGTAACTGAAATCAGAATATGTCTCTTTCGCACCCACTTAGTGACATACAACTGGCACCATCTTACACATCGCCTCTGCATTTCACCCAGGGAGTTAGTGAATGAGTCCTCCTCCATTCAGAAGCTGGCTCTCCATCTGATGAGAACTGCAAACACCTAAACATTCTATTCCCCAAAGTCCCCTGCGGGCTACTTACCCCTTACGCAGAAGGTCAAACACTGAAAGAAAAAGAAAAAAAAGCAACCATGAGTAAGAGGGAAGGAATCCAATTTAGTGCAGACACACATTTCTAGCATATTTGCCTATAAAATAAACACAGTCCCAGAACCATTGTAATCAATTTATCCCACCCAACAAGGCTACAAGGCAATGCAGAATTAAAAGAGCTTGTTGCTTTAGCAGAGACAAATATAACTATATAGGCCAGCTCCAATTGGGAGACAACAGATGCCAATTTACTAACCCTACTTCTATTCTCCTGGCTTCCAGACCCTCTTGATTTGATTTTCCCTCCTTGCATAACAGCATTGTTTTTTGTATCACTGCAATAATATCAATAGCAAAACATGATACAGTATGAATGTGTATCCTCACTAGTAATGTATTAAATTGGCAGGATAGCTATGTAACTATCAACAGATAAAATGGATGCAATTCTATGAGTTTGAAACATGCTCTAGTTTGTACAACTCTGAGTGTTCTCATTTTTATTATGGGTGAAACCGTGGCTTTGCTGAGTAAGCAGCAGCGCACTGTTGCACTTCTCCAGCCTGTGACTCAGAGTCCCAATCTGCATCCTAGTTCCCCACCCTGCTATGGGTGAGCAGGAGAGACAGGGAATAACCTGTACAAGCCTTATAGATTACTCCCCCCTCCCCACGAACAGTGGTGCACTTATGCTGTATGGCGTTGGATCCAGGAGTCTGCTCCCTCCCCATCCCATCTGTCCACATCCCAGTCACCTATCTCAGCCCTATTCCTAGTGCAGATTATTTCCTCTGCTGGAAGGCACACTGGGGCCTTGGCTCTGTTCCCCTGCACAGAAGAAGGAACAGTAGTAGCCCTGCAGAGGCTGCTCCACCACACAGTGAAGTAGGTAGCTGGCACACAGGAGTAAGGGGTAAAGCAATCCTCACACTTCTGTGGGGGAAGGATAGATGGGCCACAGCCTGGTACCATCTGGTACTTGTTTTTCTTTCATAAAACCAAACCTTTTGAGGTTCAATTAATAAAATACAAATAAAAAATTATGTAATAATTAAAAAACCGGTTAACCTACCTTTCTGTAACTGCTGTTCTTCAAGATGTGTTGCTCATGTCCATTTCACTATAGGTATGTGTGCGCCCTGTGCACAGTGGTCAGAGAACTTTTTCCCCTCACTGGTTCTGGTCTGGCGCCATGCGCCACTGCATGCCGCTGTAAGAGGACAGATCTGCCCCGACCCCCCTCAGTTCCTTCTTACTGGATAGGCTCCGACAGAGAGGGGAATAAGGGCAGATTGTGGAATGGATATGTGCAACACATCTCGAAGAACAACAAAAAACAATTCAGTGCTGCGATTGAAATAAGAGTGTTTGTCAAACCCCAGTTAAATTAATGAGCTGCCGTGTATTGTCTCTTTAAAGGAGCAATGAACTTAGTAACTTTGCTCAGTTTCAATGAGAGGGCTGGACATGGCAAGGAGATGTCTCCCAGGAATTCAGGAGTTGGGATTCACTGTCTGTTACCTGTTAGGCAAAGTTTGGACTGGCAAAGTCCTGACGAGTTTGCTGGCAAGGCCGACAAGCTGGTATGTCAGGGAGCCATCATACAGCTTAGCAGTAGCAAAACTCTCACTTGCTGAGGTTGAAACAGGTAACATAGTAACTCACAGTTCTGGGAACCTCAGCAGACTATCACATTGGCAGATGGTTTTGGGGAAATTCAGGACTGGGAGTGTTTTGGAATCACTTTGCAAAAAGTAACTGGGTGATAGAAACCAGGGTGTGGCCTGCTTGCTTCTCAGAGGACTGTTGGTGTCAGGCTGTGAGCTACAGCAGCACAGCATTTAAGACACCCAGAGTTGCAGGGCAGGTAGTAACACAACCCCTTACTGGTCTGAGTTGAACCCCAAAACATCACAATGCTGTAGCCCGGGAGGCACAGAAACGTGACGTGACTTGCCCAGGATCACCCAGCAGGCTAGCAGCAGAGCTGGGAATAGAATCCAGGTCTCCGGAGTCCCAGTCCAGAGAACTACGCTGCCTTCCTTCCCCAAGCTGATGGAAGCATTCCTTCTTAGCCACTCTACAGAACTCAATTACCCAATACCTCAGATCAGAAAATTAAGATGTCAATGTAAAACTTGATAAAGTTATTTAATTTTTTTTTAAATTGTATAGTGATTAGAGCAGGACTCCTGAGCTCTATCTACGGCTCTGCCACTGCCTCACTCCGTGAACTTAGGTCAATCACTTAAATCTCTCTCTGCCTCAATTTATGCAGGTGTAAACAGGTGTAACGCCAACTCACTGGGGTCTGCTGAGCAAAAACAGGGCTTAGGCTGGGAATTGGGTTGTAGCCTAAAGTCCGAAGTGGCTATCACTGCTCCATAATAGCATAGGGTTTCCCAGCAATGCAATTCCACCATTAGACACCTTTGTGTCTGATGTGTAGGCTCAGCTAGGCAGTAGGGGTCCCGTACTGTTAGGGGGTGATCTACCAAAACCAAGGAGACCTTTCCCTCACAAGCAGTTAAACAAGATACTGCAACACTAGCAAAATCCCAATGCAAACTCTCATCTGTAAAGTGAGACCGCTCTATTTACAGCGAAGACCTATTTGCTACCATACAGCAGTCAGGTTAAAACAGATCAAGATGCAACTATAACGTGCTGCAATATACTAAGGCCAACTCGTCTTTCTTTGCAGGCTCAGGAAGAAGCTGCTTCTGGCAGCATTTCATAATTCTATCATTTCCTCTCTCTCAGCTTCTCAGTTTTCTTAGCCCTGCTTTCTTAGCACCAAGCTCTGCATGGTGTACATGGATGCAAGAAATAAACAAGCCAATGTGCTTAAGTCTCAATAGCTCACTCTGTCCTGCACCTTCTCTTGTTTTCTATTCTGCTTGCTTGTCTACAGTACATTTTAGAAGGAAAGCCTGCCTGGTATTTCTGATCGTCCTGCTGGGAAGTGCTATCAATGGTGACACCATTCAGCTGAATGCCTGTCAGACAGCCTGAGCTCGAGACGTGTTGAGCACTTACCACGTCCTCGGACTTTAACGGGAATTACAGATACACAGCCAGATTCTCGGCTTTGCCAAGCTTATTCTTTGTAAAGCAGAGAGGGGTGGTTACAGCTCCCTGATTCTCTGCAGGCCCTTGTCCCAGGTTAGAGCAGCCTAGTAGCTGCTCTGTGTTCCCTGAGCATTGCAAAGGAAGCAGCGTGTGGATGAAAATCAGCCCCACTCAGGATTAGACCTACATCTGCGTACAGCATCACTGAGACATACGGACGGAACAGTAAGGCTTGCACACCCTGCAGCGTGCTGCTACGCCTTGGCTTGGTTTTAACTGCACATGAAAGAATTGCTTTGTACAATGTTCTCAAATGTACCTACTAGTACCAATGAAGCGGCCCTTACTGTCCCACTGCAGTACTCCTGGCCCAGTCTGTGAACCCTTTCATCACACTGCTGAGCTACTGCTCACATAAGCTATTCCAGGGATTAAAGAGAGGGTGACACTGGAGATAGTTATGCAGGTGGTTATGCCCCTAGTTTGCTCACCCATTCTCTGCTCAGACTCCAGTGGGTCTACTCATGTGAGTAACTGCTCTCCAGTATGAGTAAGGGGTTGACAAGCGGCCCCACTATTATTACTGCTATCACCATTACTGTAACCCAGCAGCACAACGTTTTTCCTCTTCTGCTTTTTGAATTGCACTTTGCACTGACTTTCATTCAACCAAAAGGAATCTAACACACACGCCCCTCCAGGAGACCGGGCCTCCAAAAAGCAACACAAGCTGGGCTCCCTGCTATACTTGTGTTTCCACCTCAACTGCCACATCTTTGATGTCTCTCGAAAAACAACGTGGGCTTCGGCTGAATCTGCTCTTGAAAGGGAAACTGGCCTTTCAAAGGAAAGCAGCTTCATTTGCTAGGCAGATCCCCCTTTCCAGGCAGCTTCAAAAGCCTCCTTTACTATTTCATGAGGCGTATCCTTGTAGATACGGTGGCTGACTCTTCACAGGGGTGTTAGAGGAGACAGGACAGAAAGAAATTCCCTCCACTCCTTGTGGGCATGCATGAGGCAGACATGATCTCAGTCTTTGCATATCACACTAGACTCCCCAGAGAGAAGAGGAGCCATCCACTGCTCCCACCCTTTTACTCTGGCTGGATGAATTAGAGCCAGGCTGAGTGTGTGCGGGAAGCACAAACTATACCCGTTCAGTGTCAGTGGATGCAGCAGGTCTTGCTCTGTGCAGCTCTCCTAAAGTGCAAGGCCTCCTGAACCTAGGGGAGGGATAGCTCAGTGGTTTGAGCATTGGCCTGCTAAACCTAGGGTTGAGAGCTCAATCCTTAAGGAGGCCACTTAGGGATCTGGGGCAAAAATCTGTCTGGGGATTGGTCCTGCTTGAGCAGGGGGTTGGACTAGATGACCTCCTGAGGTCCCTTCCAACCCTGATATTCTATGATTCTATGACACTGGTGCAATGCCTTTCTGCATTCTCCCACCCCTTAGGAGACTTTAACGTTTCATAGGTACCAACTCTATCTCTGTTGTGGTCTGTGTAAGTCTCCTGGATATGTACATTAAACACCTCAGTGAGAATAAGCAAGTATGGCTCTATTAACATACAGGGAGATACATACCCATGTACAGATTGTCCTCTGCAGAATCATCCAGTACCTAAAATGGATATCACAGAAGCAAGGGAAGGGAAACAGAAAGGAAGACATCTTTAATCCAATAATACTCTATAATTATCCATATTTCATGTTGTGCTGGAGGGTGTTAAGCTCACAGAGCACCTGGAATTGAAGTTTAATGGAGTAATATGCGATTTTTGACTTTAAACATACATCTATCTCCCCTGCCTTTATCTCGCAAGTGCGTGTGCACACCCACTTCTTACTAGTTTTTAGTAGGGATAGACTCAAGCATCCCTAAACCTGGGAAATTTAGCTACAGATCTGCACTTTGCAATCTGACCCGTCTCTGATGCTCTGCAGACTAGACTTAAAATAACAAGACTTGCACCCTTGAGCCATGTTAAGCACAACCACTGTACACACCAAGGGCCCAGCTCACGCATGGCATACAGTCACATAAGCCTGATTTTCAGACAAAGTATAGGCAAGAAAGGCTGCTATGCATCTGTCTCCACGTAACCTACATGCAAAAATCTGGCTGGCCTTACAATCTAAGGAAAGGATATCACACTAGTATGCCAGGAAGTTTCTCAGTTTGGGTCCTGAACTCCTGGACTGTCGGCAGCTGGGAATATCACCCTGTCGCAATCTCCTCTGTCCACCTGCGCACATTGTTTACTAGCTCAGAAAGGAGTTGCATCCAGACCTCTCTAACTGCAGTGTGGGGCCACTGGAGGGGCAAGCACAGGTCTCACTGGGCATGTGCTGCAATGTCATGACACCAACAGAGCTAAGCTGTGGCCCTGCATAATTGTCATCACACTGGATTCAGGGTTCACCAAACTTTGCAGCTAAAACTTGACTTGAACCCAAATATCTCAGTGGATGCCCATCTTTTACACTGAGAAAGCACTGCTATTCACTGGTATATTTCCCTTCTTACCACATTGCCAGGATCAGAATGGGCTTACAGGAGTTGTTATGGGGTCAGAGATCCTATTCAAAGACTCCAGTGCTACAGAACAACTGCTAGCAGTTAGAAACTCACTGCACTGAGGAGGTTTTTGAAGGACAGAGAGAAATTTTCTTTAGTTTACCCTGGGAAGATCCGGGGAATTAAAGAAAACAAATTCCATGCACTCCTCTGCCTACTAGAGACCGTGCATGCAAATTAAGATGCTATTTGCCCATGTCAGACAAATATTGATTAATAGGGCACTAAGGTCCATCACCACACAAGCACTCTCTCTCTCTTTCTCTCTCCCCGCCCCGCCCCCACTCCCGGCCACACAGACGCATAGGGCTTTTCTACATACAGCATTCCACAGGTTAACTTAAGGAATGATCATAAACTGATTTAGTTAAACTGGAGCAAAAGGCTGAGATGACACTAATTTTGGTTTAAACTAGGCTTATTTTGGATAGCTTATGTTGATTAGCCACAGGTTTAAGCTAAACCAAAGTAAACTGGTCTTAGACTGAATAAAAGAATAACCACACAGGAGCCTACACTAGTTTAATTAAACCAGTGCAAGTTTGTGTGTAGGCAAGGCTTAACTTTTCTTTCTCTCTCTCTAAAACACACAGTTGCTTAAGGATCTGCTATTTATAAACTTTGACCTTGATCAAGCAAGCCCTCCACATACACAGCCCCACTGTGTGGAGTGTGGGCAGAATCGGGTCCTTAATTCATAAAGATAGGCTGTGATTTTCAAAGCCATCTAGGGGATTTTACTTCCTGATCCCCATTAACTTAAAAAAACCAAACTTGAATGTAACCATCCGCACAGTCTGACCTGAAGAACAGCGCCCCTTCCCTCCCAACCCGCTTTGGCATACACACCTCAATCAGCTTCACAATGTTGATATGGTCCAGTTTCTTTAAGATGGCTATTTCTTGATAAACTCTATCCAGTGGTGCCATTGGTTTCGGCTGCCCACCAGAAGTTGCTTTGGATCCTCTAGGGGGAGGTCGACCTGCAACAGCAGCAACAAAAAGTTGTGCTTTACCCCTGCTTGGCAGCACACGATACAACACAGTGAATGGCTGTAGCGCATGGGGCTTTGAATGGGTGCAGGACCTAAAAACATACGACGGAGATGACACACTGACCTACTGAACGTTCTCCGCACGAGTCAATGCCCAACTTTTATTTTCTCGTATAAAGTCAACTTGAAATTTAGTGCCAGTGAAAAGAGTAAGATTGACTGCTCTGGGGATTGGAAATCAGTCAGCTGCAGAACAAGTACAACATGGGCACCAGCACTGCCCCATCAACATTCCTACAGTCTGCCCTGGAAGGACATCCAGCAGGTCCCAAGCTCCGCTGGGTCAACTCATCCCATTATCTTTCTAAGGCCAATGAATTGAGCTCTGTGTGCTTCAGTGTGTTTGGACCTTTCAGGTGAAGCCTTAAAACTAAAATTCTGTATGAACATTAAGGAGACCATGGGATGTTTTTATAGAATGATTTACCCTGTGTTACTAGCCACAATTTATCTGCCCCCAACTACTCTGATACATCTAGTTGATGCCTTCCACCCCAGAGATGGCTGCACTGTCTCTCATTTGTAAACGGATTTAGGATTGTTCAGGTTAAATGCACTATTCTATTATAATCATGATCCCATTGAAAAAAAATCATACCACAAGCTCTGATGCAGATAGGTAGTTAGGCAGAAGGCAATGCACATTCTGGTCTGGTTTTTCTATTGTTACAAAAAGCTCCAATTTCCATGTCCTGTTCTATTTCCAAAACAATTACAAAGACCTGGCAAGTGAAGCGATCCCCCAATAAACAGATTTAGGACCCAATCATGAGGCCTCTCACTAGCTTGAATGAATTATTCCATGAGTAATTGCCAAATTACTCAAAAGGAAAATTTGGTTCTTGAGGACAAAATTTCACAAGGGTACATGGTGCTTTGCATTAGCCTTATGCACACAATGAGCCTGATCTTAGAAGGAGCTGAGTGCTCACAACTCCAACTATCTTCAATGGGAGGTGAGAGTGCTTAGCAGATGGTAGGATCAAGCCCAATGTTTTCAAAAGATTAAATTTAAAACATGTCATTTCACATGAAGGAATGAATAAAAGCTTAGTTTCCAGAAGGAGAAGACGAGCCAGGTAGGATATTGCTTGTATTGTTGTGTTAGACAAAAGGCCTCACTATAAGAAACTACTTGAGCTAGTGGAATGGACCAGCGGGCAAAGGACAAGCCGTTAGCCAGCAAGTTTTCCTCCTCAAGGTTTGATTCTTAGATGTTAGGGTGCCTGAATTACAGCAAGAGAAACCAACTAGAAAAACAGATAAACCCAACCTGCGTTACAACCCAGGTCAGTGTGCAGAATCCTTTTCCATTGACAAGGCCAGAGTTTCAAAAGTGCTCAGCACACCGTGTGAAAATCTGGCCATCAGTGTCGCCATCGGAGCTGTCGCGTGCTGAGATCTAGTGAAAATCTGGCTCCAACTGTGGATACTGAGTACTTGACAATCTGGCCCCACGGCTAGCATTTTCAGAAGAGATCAGTATCCGCAGTTAGGGCCAGGTTTTCAAAAGCGCTCAGCGTGTTGGGTGCCACGTGCTTTTGAAAATCTGGCCCTAGGTGTCTTGCACAATCTTTGAGAGCCTGTCTGAGCCTTTAGACTCCACCTCCACATTCTGTGCTAGACCACTGTGGGACACCCAAGAAGGAGAGTTAACTTCCTGATGGCTGGGAAACAAGCAGGGGCGGCTTTGGATCACATCACAAATTCAAAATGGCTTCTCCTTACAGGTTGAGTATAAAGAATGAGGAGTACTTGTGGCACCTTAGAGACTAACAAATTTATTTGGGCATAAGCTTTCGTGGTCTAAAACCCACTTCATCGGATGCATGCAGTGGAAAATACAGTAGGAAGAGTAGATTGTTTTGTGTTTTGAGTATAGTGTCTTGTTTTTGTGCACGCAAAAGAGTGTGCTTGAAAGCTTATTCAGATAATTTGCTGAAAGATATTGTAGAGACACAACAAGAAAAAGGGCTTCTATATGCTACACAAGTACAGAGGTCAGTGTTTTACCATCAGGGAGCAAGACTGTCTGGGGACAGAGGGCACCAAGGAGCAGTGAGGTGGGAAATTGTGTTTTGGATAATAGCTCATGCTTGTCCTTAATCCTTATTATAGATGATCCAGTATGTCTATCCTCACAAACCACCCAAGCAGCTTTGAAAGGAGGCCAGGTTCTTATGCCTTACTCCGGCAAAATTTCCAGGGGATAGCAGGTAAGGCCTGCAGGGCTTGTCTGTAACCTTTAAAAGCATGATACCTACGTGGAAATCCATACTGTTTCAGTAGCTTCTTTTTGGAGAGGACTTTCATAGCCTGAGGGAAGAAAAAACAGTGTTAAAACAGAGCAAAGCCATGATACTGGGAGTTACACTCACTGCTCAGTCCTTGCAGTGTTTGCTATATCTTTGCAATTCAGTTCAGCTACTGGTCTGGGACTCCAGTTTTCAGATCTTTATCCAAAGGAGAGAGAGCTTAATTAGTGACAGACACCTTCAAAATACTTAAGATCTAAGAAAGAATGAGTTATTTTCCTTTAGGTATATAAAGAGGCCAATTTTACCCATCTTTTTACAAAGCAAAATAAATCTGATTCACTTATCTTAATCAGATAAGTAAAAAGGGGGCCTGATTCTCAGTTACTCTGTGTGACACAGAGACCCCTTTGTAAACAGTGTCCTGCTCTTTGCAAACATCTCTCATCTCACACCCGAGAAACTCACTACAACACACAGGCCGTGTAGGATAGCCATCCCTAAAAAGTAACATGTAAGGTAACTACAGAAAGCTCATAACTTGTCACAATTCATAATCACGGAGAGACATATGTACAGATGATATTTACAGAATAATGTATTTATATTGAAAGTTTGCTTTATGGGTTAGGAATAGCACAGGCAGTATTCTCACAAGGCCATTTCTGCCCCCTTTACGCTACCAGAGTTTCATAAAGGGATCTTGGTGTAACTGAGAACCAGGCCCAGGAGCTCTAGGTTAGTTATTTCCAGGATGCCTGTCACTGTGGTATCACAGATTGAGGGGCACAGTGATCTGTGGGGTAGCATAGGAATTGCAGGGTACAATGGATAAGAGAACACAAAAGGAAGCATACATTTAAATAAGCTGGCCACTTGGTGACACTCTTCCATCCCTCTACATTCTCATATTCCAGTATCATACAGTTGTTTGGAACCAATATGTAGTTGATGTGAGATGGTGGACATGGAAGTAATTTTTCTGCCATCCAAATGGCATTAGGCGTGATGGCAAAAGACAACTTGAATGTAATAAATCAAATCTCTGAGACTTCATAGGTACTACTGTGTTAAATAACCTTCTAGCAGCCACTCCAATGATCCCTGAAGACTTCACAGATAAATATTTCATGAGAAACCAGCTCATATGACAATTTGCTCAGGGAAATATTCTGCTCTAGTGAGGCTTTTTCAGAATGAGTAGTTTACTTCTATTAATCAAATTTCCATATCTGTAATCCACAGGGGAGTGACCTCACTGAAATGGGGCTCAATGCAAGGAGACTTCATTACATGTTACCTGATGCTAGTTATCTCTGCTGGTGAGGATACAGCTACCAACCAGAAACCCCATCCATCCTTCCAGTGTCTCTTATATAGTTTAAGGGCCAGATTAAAATCTCAGTTATATCAGTGGATAGCTGGACTAACTCCAATGAAATCTGAATTTATGCTGGTGTAACTGAGCAGAGACTCTGGCACTCAATCCCATTTTATAACTACAGAGGCACACATTGAAAATAGTAGTATCGGGAGATGGAGACTAGACAGTTCTAGTCCTTCACCTACACATTGCCATGTCTAAGCTTGGTTCCAACTGGTTGGCTGAATTATTCTGTAGTCTGTGTGAAATGAGTTTGTGATGTCCACAACCCAAAAACCTCCTCCACAATCAGCACCTTGAAAGAAGGCCCAGGACAGGAGGGTTCTCAGTGTACTATAAACACACTTTTATTTCTCCCCCTGCACCCAAATTACAGTGACAAGCAAACTTCAGAAAATATTAATTTCTACTCACCAAAGAAATTCAAATACGGGATTACTCTTTCACTCAAATTCAGCCAGTAAACAGACCGTTACATTGTCCTGATCCCATCTCTAAAATTAGAGTCTTTTTCCCATTTGATGAGTAAAAATGAACTTTAAAATAAAAATTCACCAAGTTTTGCTAGTTCATTGGCAAAAACTGGTAAGCATCAACATTACTAAACTAATGGGGCCTTGCTTTCAGTTGATGCCACTAGGCACTGCCATGATACAAATAATTTATAAGAATCATGATCCCTACCCTACTCGGTCTAGAACTTGCAGGGAATGGAATGGCACAGAGGGAATGCCTGTTTTCAGCACTGTCCTATCTAGCTTAGGTATCTATATGGCCCCAGTACCATAATATCTGAGCACCTCACAACCCTCACACCTGTGAGGCAGGGAAATGCTATTATCCGTATTTTACTGTTGGGAAACTGAGGCACAGAGAGGCTAAGGGACACATTTTTAAATACATTTAGGCACCGCTTGGGATTCTCAAAAGCATCTATTGAAATCAATGAGTTTTAGGTGCCTAGATGCTTTTGAAGATTCCATTGGGCACCTAAATACCTTTAAAAATCCAGTCCTAAGTGACTTGCCCATGAGCACACGAAGTCTGTGGAGAGCAAGGAACTGAACCTGGATTTTCCAAGTCCTAGGGTAGTGTCCTAATCACTCTACCATCCTTCCTCCCTGTCATAGGATTAAGGGAGGAAGGATGCTAGTAAAGCAGTGCTCTCACATTCAATGAGGGAAGCAAGTAGTAGTAACCCAGTCATCTCAACTGTTCATAACTCACCTGAAAGGAACTACATGGCAACTGTATGGATACTGTAATGTAGTTAAGGTTGTGTGATGCCTATGACAGTATTCGGACTTGCTTCCTATACTGCAGCTGCAGCTATGCCAGCTCTTTGTCTACTGGTGACTCCCCAACCCTTGGGAACTCCCCATCTGCAGAACTCTGGTAGTTTTCTAGCCCCCTTGTGCCATCAGAGCAGTGCAAAGAGGTTGGATCATAATACATCCCATTGTTTTCTAAATCAATATGTCGGATGAACAGCAAAGTTTCTTGCGGAACGAGCAGGAGTCATTTAATTACCACAAAGAATAGAGGCATGAATAAACAGTATTAAAGTCAAGTTTTCACTACAGTGAAAGCTGGAGAGGCAAATCACCACATTGCATCCTAGCTGTGCATAACAGCAGAGATACAATGGGGATTTAGCAAGTCTCTCTTCCTTCCAGGCTCAAGCAGAGCTGTCACCAAGGCAATGCATTCATGAAAGAACCAACCCATTTCCTCTCTCAAGCAAAGCTAATTATCCAAACAGAGCCTTTCAGACACAGAATTCTCTCAGAACCTGGTTGTGGATTTTCCCTTAGTACTGACGAGTGCCTCAATAGCTTCTTCCGAAACAAATGGTGCCAGTAGTTTTCTCTATCTATGCCCCTGTGCCCAATTCCTGCCCCTTTCTGATTTCATGAAAACGTGGTTCGTGGCGTGTGTTCTTGGGAGGCAGCATGGGGATCATGTTACAATTTCTCTGATTAATGGAAAACTCTGTACAATATTTAAGCCTACTATTTTCTTCATAGCATTACTGCAGTCTGTGTATTGAGGAGCATAATCAAAAGGGCTAAACTACTTTAGGGGAATAACCCAACAAAAGAGGATCTTGGTATCTTTGAGATGAAAGATTAAAGATCAGGAGGAGTTCTGTAACTCAGAAGTTCTGATGATCTGATGCCGACTCTATAGCTCAGATCCTGCTTTCCGTAAAGTCAGTAACAAAATTTCCATTATTTCACACGGGGGCAATAAGCAGTGTTGCGCCTTGTAAGTGGACTTGCCATCTGCACATTGCAATGCATTGAGACAGCTGAGGACTTCAATTACTGTATACCCAAGCTCACTCCATGGAGGTTCAGCTGTATAGAAGCTACATTGGATTGATGTTTGTCCAGCACTTTGGATATGGAAAGTGATATACATTCAAAGCATTATTATCAATAATCTTATACCATTGTTGGATTAAATGTCCCATTGGGAATGCGGAAAAGTATCACTGTTTATTTCCAATAAGCCCCCCATCTATTCTTTACCCTTATCTGCCATATTTCAGAATGACATCCCAATGAAAAGGGGCTACAAACCCTCTTTTGCTGAATAAGGGAAAGCCATTAGTCCTGCATATCATGCTATTCAGATGCTGACCATAAATTTGTCATCACTAATCCCAAGCACTGTTTATCATATCATCATCTAAACAGTTTACATCCGATCACTCCATCCATCTTGGTCATTGAACAAGTTGCATGCGTAACGTGTGACTGAGTGATGTCATCTGTGTCTGAGGAACCTGAATTGCTACTCATCCCTCCCTATTTTTTGGTGTGATTTTTAATGGAGGATTTAGGGCTGCATCTGGAAAGCTTTCATGAAGAAACTCAATCTTTATCATCTCCATCAAGAAGCTGCAGGGAAAAAAATGGAATGGGATCATTTTTGTCCAGAATTGGAACAGCAATTGTCCTTCTCAATCACTTTGCGCTACAAGCTGTTTTAGAGATTGAGAACAGGAAAAATACATGGCCTGAGGCTTCTCAGACTCAAATTTCATCAGCAAAATTATTCCAAACTAGACTTCCACAGGGACATATGTTGTTTCTGCTTTGTATTTTTTGCCTTTTAAGGTGCTTGGCCTTTTTTTCTAATCACTGTTAAAACATCTACTGCAAACTGTAACACTGAAATATTTACAGCTGTAAGGGTTCCTAGGCATAGTTTTGCCAACTCTGGTGTAATGGCAGGTTATCAGCAGGGACTGAACTCGAACGGAAGAGGCCTGTGCTTTAGCAGGCTATGCCCAACAAAGTCAATGGGATTCTTTTCATTTTTCTATTTTTCTTTTAATAGAAGGTCAAAAATCAGAAAAAAATAAAGTCCTGCTTGCACATGGGATGACCACGGATTTCTTATTAAAAGGGATATGCCTAATTTGAGGCCTGATCCAAAATCCATTAACATAATGTGTCTTTCTACTGACTTCCACAAGAACTGAGTCAGGCTATTGGTGCTTAAAAGTTCTGCAGTAATCAACACAGAATGCACACTGTCCCATACTTCAGCAACAATCATGTAAAGGATCGTATACTACGATTTTGCACTGTGCAGGATTTTGTAACATGAATAAAATACTGCATCTTAAAAATAAGTTTTGTCCTGTTTATAGGCATATACTGTTT